AATAAAACAAAATAAGGAAAAAAAAAAAAAAAAAAAAAAAAAAAAAAAAGGCGGAAAATAACTCAAAATTTTATAATACCTTTTTGTACACCGCATTTTTATTGTATACGAATTTACGCGACATATCTATATATTATGGGTATACACCATATTTTTTCATCACAGTCTGTATTTTTCCTTTTAAAAAGAAATTTATACAAATGTAATAGGTTTCCTTGTCCACTTTAATATCAACTCAACAATGCGTTCTGTAACTTTTACATTTCCCAAAATGTGACAAAACAAATCGTAATATATGTGTACTGTTAAGAATTTGAAAAACACGCGCGTTATTGCAAATGCATCATCCCATTCTAACACATTAATGTGGCATGGTATATGTTTATTAATCATCACTTTAACAATAGCATGAATAGTAGGTGTTAACCTTTTTCCATAATGTCCTCATTGGACCGACCTATGCCCATTTTGGCCATTAATATTAATGACTCTTCACATTTAACGCTTTCTTCCAAAATGTACATGCAAAACATTCCTTTGGCGCATCTAATGAGCGTGACATATAGCATGCCTGTCCGGGGAGTCCCCAATCAAACACACGTATTCCCCAAATAAATGTATTAACTATTCTAAATTTCTACCCCCCGTCTTCCTTTACATTTTCTCCACATTTCCTTACAAAATTGGATTTCATAATTCAAATATGGTTCCTAAAAAAAGATTTTCTCCTCACTATTTAAAAGTGTGTAAAATGAACTACTTTTCTCTTTAAAAAGGATCCAAAATGCTCGTATGTTTAACTTCCCTTTTCTCCATATAGAGAACGAAAGCATTTCACTTTTCTACTTGCCCCATAGCCCCCTAAAATTTTCCCACGCATACATACACACACACATAAGTACATACGTACACATACACATGCATACATATAGGCATGCATACTTTGGCCTTCCCTCCCATGCTCCTCATTCCTTAAATAATATCCGTCTTCAACAACATTACGTCCCCATCACCGTACATGTCAAGACATATTTCTACATACATATTCGCCCCTCCTATATATAACTACACGTCTTCTTTCTGTGTTTCATACTAAACGTCCACTTGCTTAACACATATTCAAGCAGGACACGTAGTAAAAATCACCAAGTTTTATCCCCTTTTTCCTTACTTTATACCTTGAAACATTCCGCAATAGTACTTTTACCTTTTTGTACATGTTCTAACTTATAATGTTTTCAGTTATTATTGATAAATTCATTATGCACATATCTTAATTGTAAAAATAATTATTTGTATGCATAATAATTTGTAGCGTATAGGAAAACCCCCCTCATCTATATAAACCATTTTGAAAGACCATTAGAAATGCATTCAATTTAATCACTAATAAAAAAAAAAAAAAAAATTATTATGAATGAACATGTATTATAGGGGTGAAAAAGTAAAAACATTTCAGCATATCTAAAAGGACGAAATCTTTTAACACATTATGCACTTAAAAAGAGTTGTAAAATTCGTTTGAAAGGATAAAAACTAAATGTGCACGCCTATATATAGCCAATTCCATATAGCTCCTGGCACATCTTTTTATACTTATATTTTTCCTTCTCCTTTTTTTACCTCATAACAGCCTATACGACTTATATGAACTAAATAATTACAATTTTCACTTCTACACACATGTAGAGCAAAATTTTTCCTCTAATAAAATTATACTAACCGTAATGCACACGTCATATCATACATACTTTCTCAAAACATACTCTAAATAAAAAAGGTAAATTCATTAACCTAGTTCGATATTTCACATCCTCTTAATAAGTAACAGTATATTCTTCCTAACCTAACCGAGACAGAAGACATTTCTATCTCTTCTACTTTAAATCGCTGTAACATTTTTTGCGTACATTTATTTGATGTAACAGTAAATAGATAAAGACGACAAAATGTTTTCACTTCAATCGCAAATAACTTCCCTCCGGTTGTACCCACCAATGCTTCACACATATTAAGACAAAAACGAGCAAAAGGTAATTCCTTATTTCATGTCCTTTCACTACCTATACCTAATCTTATTAAAATTCATCTTCACCCTTTTTTATATAAAGTTCTCAAATATTATAACACGTTCGTGAACAACAAAAAATAAATTAAAAAAATGAAATTAAAAACTAATAAAAGAACAGCTCAAATAAAACGGCTAAAAAGTATGTAGCTGCTTGAATTATTCCATTGGGAACGAAGCATCAAATCTGTGGGAAATGATATTTTAAAAGTCTGTTGAAAATCCCTATACAAAATTCTAATCCCCAAGGATTTGGATGTTGCATTTATAAGTTTACCAGGCCATTTAATATGCACACAAAGCTTCTGTCCTTTTTTCAATAAACTAAAATTTATTTTCCATAAGGTTTATTTATGCATCATCCCCTTCTGCAAAATATCGTGTGTGTATTCCAAATAGTTGCAACTTAGATGAGGGGAGAGGTGGGTGGAACATATTATACGATAGTTTGAACTGAGCTTTAGTACATTTTATCCTTATCCTGCTCTACAACTGCCGATATGCGCTACCCAAATATTTCCTTCCCTCCTAGATCGGAATGTTTTGTTTCACCATTTGTCACTTATGATAGCAGATTGATTGCAGAAAAGCAAATTACCTTTTTACAACACCTTCATATGTTAATCACAGTCAGTCCCTTGTGATTTCGTTCAATCCTTTTCCATCGTCCAGTCCACCCCTAGTCCTGAGCTAATATTTCGTGACACCTCTACTCTATACTTTATATATACTGAATTGGTGAAAACTTGCAACATAGAATCATTCGTCTTCTTCGGATTCACTGTGCTGGTACTGACTCTTTAATTTTTCCTTTAACTCTTGTATAACTTTATCATAATCTTTGTCTTTTCTTTGGAAATAATTTTTCTTCTTCTTCTCAACGGTGGAAGCGTTTGTGGAATCATCATTCACTGGTTCGCTCAAGGGAGACTCACCCAGCATTCTGGAAAAACCATTACACCTTTGCAATACATTAACTGCCTCCTCATTTTTGACGATGAAAGTGTTCTAAGAAGTAAAAAATATATAGCACACATGTTTTTTAAAAAAAAAAAAAAACTACATACATAAAAAAAGAAAAATATATTCAGAAAGACAAAAAAAAAATATATATATGGACGCTTTTTAATTCTTCATTTTTTTTTTTTTTTTGCTATACCCTGAAAAAGAAGCATACTAGAGAAATAATAAACAAAACAAAAATCTTATACGTTCCAATTCTGTCGAAACCATTACTTTGCTTTCTCCTTTGCTCCATTAAACGTCCAGAGCAACTCTTGCACTTTTTCCTATTTTCTGCTGCCATAATGAAGGAGTTAACGCCTTATATTTTACGTGTCCTTTTATATAGGAGATAATAAAAAATTTTGTTTAATAATAAAAAGAGTTCGCTCCTTAAAATGTATGTTCCGTTATTCCCAATAGGTTAAACAAACACACAGTCATAATATTTATATATATTAGATTCATGCATCAAAGGGTGAAGGAGTCATAAGAACTGGGTGCCAGATCAAACCTATAATGTTACAAAAAAAAAATAATTTTAAAAAGCGCTACATGTGTGCAAAGAACTTTAAAATTAACACTCATTCAAATTAATACAATTTCTTTTTTTTAATTAATCAATCAAAAAACGAATCAATCGACGAATCAATCAACGAATCAATCAAACAACCGATCCTTACAACAAAATTATGAACAATTTTAAATAGTAAAAAAAAAAAAAAAAAAAAAATTCAATCGTCCCCTTGTTTTCTCCAGCTATTTTCATAAAGCAAAGTAGTTACTCAACAAAATAAAGTTAGAAACAAAATAGCAGTAAACCCCAAATGCTTCACACACCCAGACTATCAAACAGTGCAGCGCTACTTTTCATCTTAACTTGTAAAATTGAAAACACAAAAATTACATCATTTCATAATTCCCTCGAATTCAATAACTCACTTATGTGAGTTCACTCAAAACAAGAATTCACTTCGTTAGCAAATTACAACATTGACAAAAAGTGTTAGCTATTTCCTGTGTGCAATTTTAAAAAGCTGTTGTGTTATATACACCACAAAGATAAACATATAGCTTTTTTTTTTTATACTATTATTTTCTAAAGAAAGAAGAAAAAGAAAACCTTTTCAGTACCAATGTAGTTATGTAATCCACCACAACTATACTAAATGCTCTTCCTCCCTTGCCATCAAATTAAAATAATTCGCATAAAGCTCATTGTATTAATTCTATCGATGCATTCCACAAGCACTTTTTTTTTCTTCTTCTTCTTTTTTCTTCCTTTATTCCTCTCATTTTTATATTAACACTGCTATTAAATGTTAAGCAGATTATTCCATACACTATATGTTGCATGTTCCAAAAAAAAAAAAAAAACACAAAACAATTAAATGTTATTCTTGTTTCTATTCATAAAGGAATAGACTGTTTTCTCTAATAATACACCACGCGTAGAAGTGGTCCATTTGGTTGTAGAAGTAACTAATACGAAAAAAAATAAATAAATAAAGTGCAAAGTTAATGCGACAAAAACGTTCAAAATAGAACAAACAGACGGACGAAAGGACAAATTGTTACACCTATACCCAAATAACAACATTTGCACACTTCTTACACATCTTAAGCCAACCCAGTAAGGGCATAAATATACATGCACATAAAGATTTCTACAAAGAATGAGCATAAAAAAAAAAGGTTCCAATGGTTCAATAAGTTCTACTCATTTGTTCTAAATTCACTGCATTCTGTACATTTACTTCCATTATTCTGTTGAAGGATTGTGTGCTAATTTTTTTTTTTTTTACTCCATATGAATTCCTATTCGGTATAATTCTCACTATATTTCTGTTAAAATATGTGTTCTTACAATTTATCATTTATTTAGATGTAAACAAATGGGTCCCCAGGACGGGTAAAAATTTTGGCTGTAATTCATACATGCATAAAAATGTATAACTCCTTCCCCTATTCTATAAAAGACCCCAAACGGACGAACAAAAATTGAAAAAGTCCACACAGTAATATGTTGTCCCCAAATATTGTTCACAGCCACCTCCCCTGTGTTAACAATTGCTCTTCTGCTAAGAATTTCCCTCCGATTAGTTATCAAAGAAGAAATAATCATTCCTGTCCCCACCTCCCTCACATATGATGGCTCTCCTTCCTTTAACATTTGGGAAAATATTAGGGGAAAAAAAAACAAGATGCGCTTCTTTCCTTTCATACAAGCATAAGCAATTCGGCTGTTTTCCCCTCTCTCTATCTGTTTCTTTTTTTTCTCATCCTAATTATACCCATTTGCCCTTCTTCAGTTGTTACAATAATTCTGCTAACCCATTTTATCGACCCAATGACGAGGGGAAAAATGTAAATACATCCATGTGATGTGTATAAAATAATTTAAACTGCACACGCTTTTATATACATCCTCCTTCGTTATCGAAAAAAAAAAATTACCTCTTTTTCCGATTCTCCCCATTTTTGTCTACAAATAAAACCGGGCACACTGTAGCACCTCTAACAAAATGTTACTCTTCCTCTTCTTCTGCGTTCTGCTCTTCTGCGTTCGTCTCTTCTGTGTTCGTCTCTTCTGTGTTCGTCTCTTCTGTGTTCGTCTCTTCTGTGTTCGTCTCTCCTGTGTTCGTCTCTCCTGTGTTCGTCTCTCCTGTGTTCGCCTCTTCTGCGTTCTCCTCTTCTGCGTTCTCCTCTTCTTCTTTCTCCTCTTCTGCTTTCTCTTCTTCTTGTATCCTGTAACTTTTCAGTCTTGAAATTAACACCTCCTTCCATGAATTCAACATATTAGCTGTTAAGGCATTCCACGAATCCCTTAAATTATCTATATATGTGTAAAACTTTCCTCTATTGCAGGATCCCTGTTCAACTAATTTTTTAAACTCTAAATAATCATTGTGTTCCTTTTCCAGTAAATCCTGTGACATGCAGCTAGCGACCTTTTGCCATTCCTTTCTTTTTATATCCTCCGGTATGTTATATTCCTTCTGTATACTTCCACAGATTCTCCATAAATTCCCCATCACTGTTAAATGCTTATCTCTTCCAAAACCCTGAACATAATGCCATATTATAAACATGTCTTTTTGCTTTACATTATACGGTAGTTGTTTCATCTTAAAATTTAAATCCCTTTCTGTAATTTTCGTACTAATATCTGCCATCTTACAACCATATTGCAATTGGTCATTATCATCCTCATTATAAACAACATTCTTTTTTCTTTGTATATTTTCATAATTACTGGCGTCAGCGAAATCAAAATTTTCTTTCATTTCTTCTTTGCTTATTTTTTGGTACAAAATGTCTTCATGTTTTTTCTTCAACTCCTCTATAGTCGTTTTTTTATTTTCTCCATTTTTATTTTTCTTATTCTTCTCATTCCAATTTCTCTCCCTCTGCACAATCCTATTTGGAGTTCTCCTATTCTGGAATGTCCCTTCTGGCTTGACACACTGCGTCTTGCTCGTTACTGTAGTAACCTTACCTCCGTTGTTCATACTATTGGGTAATGGACGCTGGCCCATTTGTTTCATCCTTTCCTCCTTTCTTTTGTAATATTCTTCCTTGTACTTTGTCACATAATCACTCTCTTCGTCATTAAGCGCCACTCCAGCTACATCACCACATTTCTGCACTTGTTTGATTTCAGCTAATATTCTTGAACATCCATTGTTACCTAATTCTAGCTTTGAAAATGATTCCCACTCCTCACTTTTGTAGTACATATTCTACAAAAAACAATGAAAAAAAATATATATCGTTTCTCAAATAAAGTTCCTTTTTTTTGTTTTTTTTTTTTTTTTGGGGGTAAGACTAAAATTTGCCATAAAGAAATATATCGGAGGGACACATGCCCATGCGTACCGTATGTATATCTATACACACCACGCGCTTTTATGTACGATAGAAAATGAACACTTTATCTCCTACTTGTACAAAGAGATTAAAAAGGGTTAGAAAAAACAAAATAAATATTCCAGACCTTGCAACCCTTGTGTATATTCTACTTGTAATCATGTTATTCCCTTTCCCTAATGAACGAACGCAACCATTTCTAAATCTATTCTTATTCGCTACCCACGTAGAACTACTCTTTCCTGAACCACCATGGAAGCACCCACCACCACATAAATCACCATCCATTTTTTGTATATTACTAAACTTCCTAATTCTAAATGTTTTATTATTATTACTTTTTTTTTTTACTTATAGCTTCATTTAAAACATAAGCTAAGGAGAGCTCATATGAGGAGGTAAACTTGTTTGCAAAAAAAATCAAAATAAAAAAAAAATAAAATAAAAAAAACACACAAGAAAAAATTATATAACAATTATAATATATTACAAAATTTGAGATTAAAAAAAAAAAAAAAAAAAACTTCTACAAAAATTTCATCACCAAAACTTTAAAACGTAAGGAATAAAATTTTTTCTACTTGTTTGTAATTGCCATATATGTATAAAGCATACAACTGAATGGATAGGATAAATCTAATTGATTAAAAAGGGATGGGGCTGGGGGTAATATGTGCACGTTTGTACTTTACTATATTACCTTGTTTTTTTTTTTTTAAACATAAGAAACTGTACAAAGAAGAATATTTAGGTTTCATTTAAACTATATATTAATGATAACTGAGGCAATCAAACGAATTTTATTGTACCTCAGCCAACAACAATGCAGCGTCGTTTCAACACTCACATTTTAATATCACATTTTATAACATATTTATTTAAAAACACAGTCTCACACAGTGACAGGTGCCGCACAAACGACGCTTATTCAAAAATGAGCTATTTCGCTCTGTTTTTTAAAAAAAATGTGAGAGAGAGAGTGCGGCCACCAAAATTGTGATTTATATATTAAATTGTATTTTCTTCCTTAAGCGTAAGAGATAACAACAAAAAAAAAAATTATTCACTGAATTAACACAACTCGAATTTAAACTCTACAACCATGTTTGCAAACCTGTTTCTAAAAAAAATGATTTATTTTTTCTAAAATGTATTAATAGAACCATTTGATCTAAAAATCTAGAATAGTGTTACATTTCTGCTACTTTTTTTTCTTTTTCTCTTTTTTTCTTTTTTCTTTTTTTCTTTTTTCTTTTTTTCATTTTTCTTTTTTTCTTTTTTCATTTCTCATTACCTGTTCTATTTAAAATTGTACCATTTTTCTATGCTTTTCATGTTTGGTGCATAAAAAAAAAAAAAATAAAAAGAAGGAGCGAAATGCTCTCTTTGCTTAAGTAACAAGTACTACAAAATGTTATATAGCACATCTGAAGCATTGTAAAGCTAAAAGGGGGGAGGAATATGCAAATAGCATTAAAAAAAAAAGTAGTTATGCATTAGCATCAAAGGATGCTTTAACAGTTACATATAAACGGGCATAGTAATTTCATGCTCCTATGTTACACCATGCCGCTTCACACAACATGTTGACTTGTACCATCTGGCCAGTGTCAAATAGGTAAATATTTCGAGTGGGAACAACTTCACCAAATAAGAAAAAAAAACCTTAGGACGTAGAGGTTTCATAATTTTTATAACTTATTATGCATCCTCCCTTTGTCTACAAGTACACATATATTTCGCAGACCCATATATATGTGTGTGTGCCTACACGCATGTAATAGAAACATGATAACCTGAAACAGAAGGAGCTTAAATAATTTCACTCCACATCTTGTGTAAATTCCCTCTAAGACAGATATCTGTACATATTATAATTGCATTGCCCTTTTTTAACTCGTTTACAACTTTTTGAAAGCACGAAAAAAAGAAAGTCGATGGCAGTTCCGTATAAATATTTTTGTACTTGTAATATCTGTTCAGGCATATATTTTAGTTTACCCTTTTTGGTAAACAAGTCAAATGAATAGATTAAACAACATTGGTGATGTTAAGAAGCAAAAAGACTATTATACACGACTGGTATATAGTAGCACAAACAAATATAAAATGAGCAATTGGGAGTTGTATGTATGTATGTGTGTGTGTGTATGTAGGCATGTATGTATGTATGTATAAAAGGAAACTCCTATTCCGTGGCGCCAAAATGAGTGAACAGGAGAACAAATAAGCGCACCAAACGGGCGCAAAAATGGGATGAGTGTATAAACAAATAAGTACACATACACACACGAACACATTTCCTAATAGCTAAAAAAACAAAAAAAAAAAAAAAAAAAGACAATCGCAAGCATGTGATTTCCTTCTAATTTTACAATTTACTCAAAAAATAAACTAGTTAAAAATTATTAACAGAAAATCATATGCACAGTAAGGCCGGAGAAGAAGCAGCTCCCCCAGGTCTACATGCACATGTACACCTATACATATGCATATATATACATTTGTATCACATCTATGCGTCCTGTAGGCCAGGAGAAATACCCCCTTCCCACATTTTAAGAATGATTAATTTCACAGATTTACAAAAACATACTCTTCAGAAAATAAATTTTTCCAAAATAAATCCTATTAAAAGTACATGCTCTTAATTTTAAAAAGTGTAAAAAAGGAGGCAACCCTTTTTAAAAATTCTTCTTACCTGCAGACAACTCAATACAAAAAAAAAAAAAAAAAATTCGTTCTTATATAATTCATCCTTCTGTTCCTTTTTCGATAATTCATATTTTCATAAAGGCTTAAAAATTAGCTGAACATTTTAAGATGCCGCTCGTCGATCATCATTTGTGTAATGGAATTATATACCCTAATTATCCTTCTTCTTCTCTTCTTCTTTTTTCTTTTTTTGAATTCTAAGGCATCCTTTCACACACATCTTACTTTGTCCACCTACATACATTCGCACATATTCATGTTCACATGTAAATGATTTCTTCATCATCATTTCCCTCTGCACTTAAGTCATCGAATGTAATGCTCCTTCGAAGTGTTCCATATGCACTTTCTTCGCTTCTTCCTTCCCTTTCATCAGTAGTTTCCTCTGCACTTTCTCTCTCGCTTTTCTCTTCGGTTGTTTCCTCAGCATCTTCATGTCCATACCAAGGTGCATCTATTCTCCATTCAGAATCCCATGGCTCCATTTTTTTACTTTTTTTCTTTTTCCAAAACCTAAAACATGAGCATAGTTTTTTTTTTTTTTTTTTGCTTACAATGTAATATTCCCAGTTTCCCATGTCTTCATCATCTTCCCCAGTGTACCCTATACATTCATCTGGAACAAATAGCCTTACTCGTCCTATAGGATCAGCAAAGTGTACTTTTCGCTTTTCCTTTTTTGTACCTGTCTCCTTTTTCAAGCAGCTTCGCAGTACCTTCGCCTCGCCATTGGACGTAGTCGAGTGGTCGCTGATTGCTTCGGAGTTTCCACTAGTTCCTACAGAATCTCCGGAGGTTGTTGTGTCACTACTCGACCCAGCCTCGTCATCACTGGAGGTAGTCGCATCCTCAGTGGGCGATTCCGTATCACTATCAAGGTTTGCTGTCTCGCTGCTTCCTGCCTCCACACCAGCACCCCCTTTTGCCTTATCACTTCTAACGACCTTGACATTACCATTGGCTCCTCTCGCATGAACACTTGTTCTTGTCTCTTCTGTATTCGGGAAACCTTCCTCCTTATTCAATGAAGACGAAGACAACTTTTTCCTTCTCTGTATGTTAGCGGGAACCTTCCTAGAAGTAGAGGAAATTCTTTCTTCCTCGCCTAATTTTCTTGAATATGTACAACTCAGTTGCAACTTTCCATTAATATTTCTCTCATCAGAAATTGATGCATTCTATAAAAAGTAATTAAAAAAAAAAAAAATTCATTTGTGAAATAATGCTTCTTCAAAAATGACCCTTTTAACAAAAAAAAAAAAAAAAGCCCTATTGCAATTTTGTTCATTCATTTTTCCTATTCGCATACTTGTAAGAACAGATGTAGCAAGGTAAGAACAAAAAAAAAGAAAAATTTGGAATTTATAAAATTCTTGAAGCACCTTTTCATATCAATTTTATTCTGTTGTGACGAATGCTTAAAGAAATATTTGTTATTTCTTTTTCCTAAACTCATAGCTGTTATTTCTTCCCTAATGAATAGGACCATGGTCCAGCGTCTCATCATTCATTTCATTTATGTCTTTGATGTGATATGTCATATATTTTTTATTAAAGAACTGAAAATTTGTATTTGTCTCTTTCACTACTTTGGGGTAAAAATGAAGAAAAGGAATTCCTCATTTATACCTTTTTAATGTCTTTCCAAAAAAAAACATATACAAACAGGAATGCAGGTGCGTATTTTTGTGTGTATACATATATATATATATATATATATATATATATGTACATATATGTGTGTATATTTTTATATAATTACCAAGAACAATATAATTAATTATTATATGCGGGGCTATGATCAAAACATGGGCAAGCAGCATGGTCCGCAAAAAAAACCTTCTAATGTATACTTCACTCTTTTTTCTCCGTACGTTTTTATATACATAGGAAGGTTTCTGGACTTGTGTCCGTTCCGCAGAAAAAAACTATTTGCAATATATAACACATTTTTTATAAACAACAATGTTTGGCAATATGTTCATCCAACTCCATTTTTCCATTTAATCTATAATACAGCATTATATATATGTAATATAAATATATAACTTTATACAAAAAAAAAATAAACTGCCGTAACTATTTTTAACTTAAAAAATAACGTAAATGAATAGTTAAATAAATTCATCTACGTAAATACTGCATTTTACTGCTATATTAATTATGTACTAAATTTTAATAAGTTGTCTAAGTCTTTTTTTTTTTTTTTTTTTTTTTTACATAATTATTTTATTGCTTGTTTGTCCATTCCTAAATTTTGAAGAAGAATTTTAGACATTGCGCAATTAAAAAAAAAAAAAATATGCTAAAAGTTTTTTTCTTTTTCAATGTATAACGGAAATTTTCGCTTCATTACCACATATGTTTTAATATCTTTCTTCTTTTTTATTTTCCCCTTTCGGTATCATGTATTCTCCAACTTTATTCATAATTTTTCTTTTATTCAATTTGGGGCAATTTTTCCTGAAATGTTCGGCGGTAAACACAAGGACTAATGCGGAATGAATAATACTAAGCCATTTATGCAGTGTAGTGCAATAGCCATACCTACACTGGTGAATTTTTCAATCTTTAAAACCTTTTCCTCATTTTAAATTGTTCTCGTATCTTCCTTTCCTGCATTTACCTATTTTCAAGCGAATGAAAAATATTAACATTTTTTTATGCTGTCTATTTGTTAAAAACGCCTGCTTTTTTATATTTGCGACCGCTTTTTTTATATCTTTAAAAACCTTGTAATTATAAAACAAAAGAAGTATTAACTCAAAAAAAAAGAAAAAGACAGCTGTTTTTCTCCTTCCCTGCTTTTCCCGTAAAAATATACCTCAGATAAAATTACTACCCGTTCGTCCTATCCTCGGTCCCACATTTTCTCCTAAACATAATTAGAAAACGTTGAGCCAAATCTTTTCAAATGTTTAGAACGCTATTTATATGATGAAAAAAAAAAAAAAGCTTTTCAGTTTGTCCACATTAGGAAAAGTCCCTTACCCCTCATTAAAACGCCCCTTTCGTTCATATCTAATTTGCGCTCGAAAAAAAAAAGATATTTTGAGGGAGGCCAAAAAAAAAAAAAAAAAAAGCATGCACGTGCGTATAGTACCAGCATAGCATAGCTCTCATTTTTATAGTTCATCCAAAACATAAGCATATTCCCCACATGGCCTGGACATTATATACAATGTGTACACTCAACATGTGCTGCACAGGTGATGAGCTGATAAAGCTATTTTAATTTTATAAAAAAAAAAACACTTCCGCTACGTGAAGCGAAAAAGTCATCAGTTTTAGTAGGTTTGACAAAACGTAGAAAAAAAAAACAAAAGCAGTGGGTTTTATTTTATTTTTTTTTTTTTCTTTTTTCATACACACTACAAACACATAGACGAAGGTATACACATATGTATAATATAACATGTACAAAAGCATACATACGTGTAAGCACATTTGCATATGATGTTAGGAGGAGAAAAAGTGTGTATGATGTTTAAGGTCATAAACTGAACATACATTTTTTTTTTTTTTTTTTTTGCATCACAAATGTTCAAAAAAAAAAAAAAAAAAAAAAACAAATAAAAAAAAATAATAAAATAAATAACTTCTAAAAATTGTACGATCGGTGCATTAACTACCAAGGTATTTATTCCCACAACAACGTTGCTACGCTCATTTAGTGTATGAAAAATTTATATGCACATATGGATTATGCTTCCTTTCTTTGTAAATACTCTCCCCCCTTCTACACCTCCCCTTTTTTCACAGTTCATATAACTTTTTTAAAAAAAAAAAAAAAAAGGGGGGAAAGGCATAAAAGTTGTTCATAAAATTTGTATAAATATTATACACTGTATAAAAAATCCTATAGAACCAATAATATCGCTTCCATTTGTCATCCTTGTTAAACAAAAACATTGTTTATTTTTCAATCAAGATATAATGGTACATGGCCAAAGTCAATTTTTTAAAATTTATTCACTTCTTTGTTGTATAAAATTATAAGCATCCTTTAATAAAGATAGGGTATATAACAATA